GCCTGGACACATAAGCACATAAGTAGGGAGTTTTTAAGGCTTTAATGCAGAACTTTGCAATTAAAAAATTAAAATAAGAATACCTTGAATATATATTTCACTACATAGGGATGATGAGTAAGTCCAATAACATTTTAAGGTGTGCTTATGTTGTACAGACTTTTGTGAAATAATTGTTAAAGTGTTATTTTTAAAACAATCTTTTCTCATTCTGTTAGTTGATTGAATCAACAAGCACTATGGATGGAGCAATTGCTGCCGCCTTGCTGATGTTTGGTGATGCAGGTAGGCCTGACTTAGTTCTAGCCATGTCAGTTTATTAGTTTTATAATAATAAATACCTTCACATTTTTGATAGTTGCTCTCCAATTTACCAAGCACCTTCATGAATTCTTACAGGAACGTTATAAGTTGTTAATAGCTTCAGTTTTTTTTTAAATGAAGAAACTGAAGCTTAAGAAGGTTAAGTAACTTACCTGAGGTCATACAGCTATTTGGGAACCAAATTTTCTAGGTTGATTTTTTTTTTTTTCCCCTAGGGAGGGGGCAGGTTTTCATTGGTAATTTTGCTTGTTTTCTACAGATCAAATCTCGTAACAGGGAAGTTTTGGAAGGTGTATTTTCTTTCTTAAGTGTCCTTTCTAATTGCATTGTGGTTTTATTTACAGGTCTACAAATCTGAGTCAGTAGGAACATAATGTCTTGTGGAAAGTCCTAGCTGGTAATCAGCATTCCTTCATTTAGTAAATATTTATGCTATGTTCCAGGCTTGGGATACAAAAATAAATGCATTTGAAGGAGCTTGCAATATAAAAGCACCTCCATTTTTTTTTTTTCCAGCAAATACTGTCTTGGTTTTTTTTTTCCTAACTTGTATATACCAAACAAGTAAAAATAACCTAAATCCCACTACCAAAAAAGCATTTAAGGAATGAAAGCAAACCCACACTCCATTAACCACTCTTAAGTTTGCTTTGTATCATTTTCAACTTTTCTTATGCTTGTACCTACTATGACACAACACATGCACACACATTTAACTAGGAAATGCAATAATAGTATTGGTTTGCATTTTTTAAAAAATCACTTGATGAATTATCATGGATAACTCGTCAGAACAATCAGATTTATCCAATTTTAAAAGACACCCCCATAACATTCCTCTGTAACTACTCATATGATTGGTTTATTAACTATTTCTCTGTTAAATAGCCTTTATATCTCCATTATTTTGTTATTATAGTACTAAAGTAAATAGCCTTATAAGGAAATCTTTATGTTGTTATTTCTGTAGGCTAAATTTCAAACTGGGATGCTGAATCAAGTTTAAAATGTACTTCCATGTTACTTTTTTAAAGGTTGTGCTGATTTGTTTTTTTATCAACATTGTGTGAATAAATGCCCATTTCCCTAAGTGAATTTTTTTAGCTTCCTAAAATTTTTTGAAACTAAAATATATATGCAAAAATAGAAGATAGCATAGTGTGTTCCTATGGGCCTATCATCCCTCTTCAACAAATATCTACCTCACTTTTACCTCCAACCAAGTAGATTCTATTTAGAGTGCATTCCAAAGGTGAAATTGTTTCATCCATATGAAATATTTTAAGTCTTTCATTTTCTTCAGTTTGAGCAAGGGAGTAGTATTGTGTTGTGTGGGTGCTACCTACACAGTATGTTAAGGTTCTTCCTTTTCTTCCACGTACTAGCTGTGTGACCTTGGGCAGCGTTGCCTAACTCTTCCGTGTCTCTGTTTCCTTAGCAGCAAAACAGCGTAATAATAGTACTGAACTCATAGGTTGTTGTGAAGAAGTGATAAAGTTAATGTAAATTTCTTACTGTACTGTGTGGCACATAATAAATAACTGTGCTGACGTCATAAATGTTAGCAGTCATTTGTTCTTATGGACCATCTGATGATAGAAAATGGTATAGGAGAAGGTTGACTGTATCTCCCTCAATACCATAGCCCTAGCACTTACTGTAAAAGTTCCTGAAAAATGGTAGACTCATTGAACATTTGTTGAGTTGCAGAATGGTTTGGGAAATTTTACATATACTTTCTTGTTCTTATAATATCGCAATATTCCATAATCTTTCCAGATTTGTAGAAAAAACTTTATTCCATAATATTGTCTAATCTTTTTTCTCGAGCAACTTATATCATTCAACTTATTCATTAATTTAACAAATATTTATTGTGTATCTACTACTAGGTGCCAGATGCTGTTTTAGGCATTGAGGATACATAAGGAAACAAAATAGACAAAACCTTTGCTTTCATGGAATTCACAGTCCTTGTTAAATTTGAATTTCATCTGAGTTTTTTTCTTGTTCTTATTCTTACACTGTACATTGATACTATTTCTTACTAAAAAAAGTATTTTCGGAGCACCTGGATAGCTCATTCGGTTAAGTGTCCGACTCTTGATCTCAGCTCAGGTCTTGATCTCAGGGTCGTAAGTTCAAGCCCCGCATTAGGCTCCATACTGGGCATGGAGCCTACTTAAGAATAACAGCAATAATAATAATAATCCATACTGGGCATGGAGCATACTTAATAATAATAGTAATAAATATTTTCGAGTGCAAAGTTATAAGGAAAGAAGAAATCAGGGTTTTCTTGTTTTTAAAGTAGACTTCATGCTTCATCTTGGAATAGACTAGACCGTCCTATTAGTCATCTTCATCTTTAGTACATTATACTTCTGAGGTGATGTATAGAATGACAGCTTTTCCTCACTGACGTAAGATAACCTTTAATATACAGTGTCATTAAGACAGGAAACTATTTTCGATATATTAGAACAGTTTTCCCAAAAAAGGTCTTTTTAAATATCTGTTAAGATATTTTGGACAGCTCTATACATCATGATGTTGGATATTGGTTTTAGCACAAATTATAATCTCTTACAGATAATATTTCACATATTAAACAATAGGGGTACCTTTTATGCATTGCTTTCTGAAAGTTTTCATTTAAGAATACTAGGTTACAAAAACAAAAAATTACATATATATATATCCGAAGTTTTTACCCTGTTTTAAAAGGTAATAATACGAATTTATTGATGTTGTCAGGAGTCTCTAGCTATTTCTCCCACTTCTCTGTGTTTGTATAAAAATACGTAAAACATTTTTAGGTGATTGTGATCCTTTTATATTTCTGCTTTGTGACCTTTTCATTGATTAGAGACATCTTTCCCTGTTTATTTTTAAAAGTCTACCTAATTTATAACAGTGGGATTTATGTGTATGTTCTAACTTGTTTAATATCTTAGGCATTTAGGCAGAATTCTTGTATGTATACTTAAGCACACATTTCCATCAGTTCTGTCAAATAAATTCCTAGAGAAGGAATTGTTGGACTAAAAGATATCTAAAATTCTGAGATGTATTATTTACATTGCCTTCCAGAAAGGGTATAACAGTGTGTAATGTTTAAAAGTGCCTTTTTGCCTGTGGTCTGCTAGGACTGTCTTTTTTAATGGATGAAAAATAATGGTATTTTATTTTTTTTATTTTAACTGTTTTTAATTTTTTTTTTTTTTTAAAGATTTTATTTATTTATTTGAGAGAGAGAATGAGATAGAGAGAGCATGAGAGGGGAGGGTCAGAGGGAGAAGCAGACTCCCTGCCGAGCAGGGAGCCCGATGCGGGACTCGATCCTGGGACTCCAGGATCATGACCTGAGCTGAAGGCAGTCGCTTAACCAACTGAGCCACCCAGGCGCCCAACTGTTTTTAATTATTAATGAAGTTGAACATCTTCTCATTTTTTTCCCTGTTGAACTGCCTATATGTGTTCTTTGTTTATTTTCTTTATACAGTTTCATGTTTTATTTTTTATTGTTAACTACTGGACTTAGATGAAATTTATTTTCATCTGGGTATGAGGTACAGTTTTAACTTTTTTTTCTGAAATTGATGATGGGTGCTCCCAATAAAAGATGGGAATTTATGAAACACAAGTTGGAAGTGCTATTTAATGTAAAATATTAATTTGTTTTCTTTGGATATATGCAAAAACTTTTTTTATTGAAGTATAGCTAACACACAGTGTTAACATGAATTTCAGGTGTACAACAGTTATTCAACAGCTATGCCTTATGTGGCACTTACCACACGGTGAGCACGTCTCACAGCACAGGGAATATAGTCAGGAATACTTAATAGCATCGGTAGCTACACTTAAGATGAGCACAGCATAACATAGTTACATACAAAATTTTTAATTAATTATAAATAGAGTAGATTTAGATGTAGGCAGCATTGTGTGCTGTTATGTAACCTTTTCATACTAAAATTTTAGATTTGTATTTTGTCCCCCACATTTTGCAAATTTTTTGCCTGTAGCCACTTTAAATACATGTAAATATTTGGTGTCATAATATTAACAAAAAGGAAAGTTGTTTAAACAGATAATTAAGGTTGAAGAATCCTTTATTGACAAAACAAAGTTCTTGTTCTTTGGGGAAAGAAACATGTCTAGGTGACATGACATAAATCATCTAGTTCAAAGTTTTTTTCAGACTTAGACTGTTACTAACAGTGCTCACCCTACCCCAATAAATATATGGGTTATAATCCCTTATTAAAGTGGATAATGGGAAGGAGTTGGTATCTGCAGAATGCACATTTACTTTATGAAATAAATTGGAAAATAAAAATTTAACCATCCACACTTACATGAAATTATACTTTAAAACTTTAATAATTCCAAAGTGTTGAGTTCAGTTCAGGGTAGCTTCCCTGTTCTGTTTTTTTTTTTTTTTTTAATGTTTTATTTATTTATTCATGAGAGTCAGAGAGAGAGAGAGAGAGGCAGAGGGAGAAGCAGGCTCCCCGTGGAGCAGGGAGCCCGATGCG